AATTATGTTCATTACGATGTGTTGTGTTTTTTATAACTCATCTTGTATTGATATATTTTTTCTTTAATTATTAAAATACGTACCTAATTCACATGTTCAAATGGAAGTACATGCACGACCCATTTTCATRTTGTCATATTACCGACTTTTATGAATCATGAACCATTGTGTTCATGTTACTTCTATCATAAAAACACAAATGTTATTTTTTAAGCTTGATACCAAATCTTTATATTTGTGTAAGTGTTTGCAGCCGGTGTTCATAGCGTTGACGTTATGTGTTCATATATTTTATATGATATGAATAAGAGGTGAACACGATATGAACAAGGGATGCACAACCATATAAGATCAGAAACATATATGAACAAGGGGTGAACCTTAAACAGTGTGGATGCAATGCATGTATAAAACTCCAATTGACAAAGGATCGCTTCTGAATGTGTTTATAATGAAGGAACTATTGTTCACAAGCTGTTCATATCGTGTTCATACATGTTTTTTTATTTATTTTCTTTCGTATAACAGTTATTCTTATTATGTTCATATTGTGTTTATAAATGATATGCAGTCCAAGTTCATATATATGTCAAATTTTTGTTCGTATTTGACACAATGGTTCATATATATATAGTTGTGTTTATATGGTTCTTATATTAACAAAAATAAATTAACAAAAAAATCATAGAATTTTGATTTTGTAACTCCCAATTAATTAATGATATGAGAGTTACATAATTTTTTTTTACCTAAGTACCCTTTTCAACATTGTTTACTTATCTTTATGTAATTTTAAATTTAAAAAAATAAGTTTTTATCATGATTGATCACAACCGTTTATTGAAAGATTGAATGGCCAAGATCGGTTAACAAAGTTAACACAAAAACTTTGGTTAACATTTAATCTTACCCCTATATATATATATATATATATATATATATATATATTGTAACATATTTGTTTTTTTAGTAGCTGTAATATTAAACACATTTTAATTAGATTAGTTTACGTGGTTCAAGCAAAATGTAACATCTATATGGAGCAAAAACAGTTAATGTTTTGAAGACAGCATGATACGCAAGTAAAATCCAAAATCTGAAGCATTTTTTATTAGGCTCTCAAATTGATTGGTAGAATGATTTATCCATATTAAATTAATACTAGGGATTGGGAAATATTTGGATAAGGTATAATAATGCTAAGATCTTCAATCTTGATTTTCATATGTCACTAATTATAATATATTAGGTGGAGCTTCAAACGAGAACACCTCCATTTTACAATAACACCCTTATCACATGTGATAATACGCGTGAGTGGGCCTTGTGATGTGCTCACGACGTGTTCTACGACTTAGGTCGCGCCAAAGGTTGTCTGCGTCTATGATTTAGCATCACATATGATGATCTTGATGGATTATAGTATCATATCAACAACAACCTTATCACATGAGATAATACTTGTAAAGGGACTTAGTGGTGTAAGGGCGAATTGGCCCGTAACCAAGATCACATCGAAAATTGTCCGCGTCTCTGATTTAGTATCACATGTGTATCATATGTGATGAAATAATGACATCACATGTGATTAGGCATGAGAATGGGCCCCGACCTGTCGAGGGAACCCGGTCCACCTGCCTCGGTCGAGGACGGGAATTCCCCACTAAATCAGGGATGGGGACGGGGACGAGGACGAAGATCAGGATCCCCGTTTGTCTCAACTGAAGCGGTAGTTCATAATTTCATATTTCCTAATTAGGTTTATAATCTAAAATTGTTGTCTTTTGGATGTTAATATGTAATATTTTGGATGTCAAGCAAAAATACAATTACTCGATAAGTTTTGTATATTACTCTAATAGTTTTATATTACTCAATATCTTTTGGTACATGTGACTTTAAGTTTTTTTAGATTTAATTGAACTTTTTTTTTGGTTTTAGGTTATTAGTTCTTATATGATGTTGTAGTTTTTTTTGTATTAAACTAAATTCATTTTGGTTTTAGGTTTATTGAAAATGTTTGAGATTTAAACATGTATGGTCTCTCACATATTTAATTTTAAATAACTTATATAAACGGAAAAAAAAATCTCCGTTTCCACGTTGGGGATGGGGATGGGGATGAGGATGTGATTATATTCCCCGGCGGGGATGAGGCCGGGGACAGGGATTGAGGTCCTCGCCCTATTCTCATGCCTACATGTGATTGTCTATTGTAAAAGGGTATTCTCGCTTTCTCGTAAAATGAAGGTGTTCTCGTTTGAACCTTTCCTTATAGATATATACATGTATATATATATATATATATATGCATACATACATACATATATATGGAGGAATTTTTCGTTAAAGACACCTGAAATTGAACAGAAAACTTGAAATAACGTATTCACATACTATTTGTTATGAATAAAAAATCTATGTTGAATATAGAAGTGTTGTTCATTATAAATCACACATTCATGATAAATGTGAATGCATTATTCATTACGAATCACACATTCATGATGAATATGTTACAACATTATTGATGAATAACACACACACACACACATATATTTCTGATGAGTATGCCATTTGTTGCATTATAGGTGGTTCTCAAGTTCCTAATCAATTTTAAGTTTCTGACAACACTTGCCCACATATATATACCAGTGTTGCATCACAATTTTGAAGCCAATAACTTAGCTCCCAATCGTGTTTCTTGTTTCATTCTATTCTTAGTGTCTATTTTATTTCATGGGTTTGCTTTGCTTATTTGCAAGTCAACAACGTACTCCATAAAATGTGGGTTTTTGAAGAACCAGTGGAGAAATAAAAACAAATTTGTCAGATTTAGCTGCAAAATAGAAATCTAATTAAACATATTAATGAGCATACCACCACCATGCAATTAAAGTCTCACATTTGAATACTCAAAACAATGCGAATCGCTTAACCAAAAACCAAAAAAGTTCAGATTTTTAGTATCGGTTTCATATGTGAAGCGGGATATAATGAAAATATGATCATAAAAAATGTATTTAGGGCCCATTTATCAAACGTTTACTTGGAAAATGCTTACCGGTAACTTTCCTTACCGGATGAACATGAGAAGGGTCAAAAATCTTACCCGGTAAGAACAATGATAAAGATGAAGAGTCTTACTCGGTAAGTGAGGGTGACGACTCTTACCCGGGTAAGTGCTTACCGGGTAAATTGTTGCACGCGATACCATTTTGATATAATACAATCTTACCCGGTAAAATAACATATAATGTTGACTCCTAACGGTACGTGTTTACCCGGTAAGCATTTAAGTAAACGGCTCCTTAATTCTTTAAAAGCACTTAGAGAAACAATTGTTGTCTGGAATTATAAAAATAAGCATAAGCATAGTAAAAATAAACCTCATATTCTCTCAAATTGGTATTACTATATTAGCTTGTAATCTAATACCCCTTCTAGGCATGGCAACAGGGTAGGGATGGGGCGGGTTTTGTAATCCCCGGCCCCGACCCCCGTCCTTGGCGGGTATGGGATTATTATCCCATCTTCGGTCAAATCTCTAGCAATCCTTGGTCAAAATCCGGTAAAACCCCGGTCAATCCCCGTAAATAGTATTTTTTATTTTGATACTACCGCGGATCCCCGGCCTCGGTTTGAATAACATCCCCCGTCCCTGGTTTGTATCTACTGGGGATCCCGGGACCCGTTTTAGCGGGGAATCCCCGTCCCCGTTCGGGTCGGATGAACTGGGTTCCCCACTGGTTCGGGATAAATCACCATCCCTGTCCACTCCATCAGTATCACTTGTTAATTTCCTATTAATACCAACCATTTTCCTATCCATACATACATATGTTTGCTTTTGTAAAGTGAAGTCTGAAACCTGAATCAATAAAACTGTTTGTTTTTGTAAAGTGATAAACGTTTGAATTTGTTTAAATTTTTTATTTTACCCATTAAAAATTATAGTGTTGAATTTATAGATTAATTTATACAATTTCACATATTTATTCATCATCATTATGAAATTTTACATCTAAATTATATAATTAACATTCATTTAAACGAAGACATGTCATTAACGGTGTTTAACACATTTACATCCTATTAAAATACATTAATTGAGAGATGTGAGGATTGATTTGGTAAGAATTGATTGAGAGAAATGATCAATTAAAGTTAATAGATTGAGAAACGGCGTTGTTGAGGATTTAAAGAACAATAAGAGGCAAATAAAAGGATGGTTTACCTCTTATTAAATAAGAGAAAAATAAGACGCAAGTGCCTCTAAAAAATTGGAAAAAAAACAGTTTGAATGACCTTGCCTTTTAACGAATCAGACATAAGAGGCTAATAAGAGTTTTTTTATAGAAAACAAACAAGACCGTTTACTAAACACTTATTTCGTAAGTGTTTACCGGATAAATTTTCTCATTGGATGAACATAGATAGCAAGGATCAAAAATCTTATTGAGTAAGAGAGATGAGAATGATGTAGAGTTTTACCTGATGAAGATGCCGACTCTTACCCATGTAATCGTTTACCCAATAAATTATTATATTTGATAGGTTTTGATATACTAAAATATTAGGTAAGCGCTTACGGGATAAACATTTGGTAAGCGCTTACGGGATAAACATTTGGTAAGCGCATCCACTAACGTGCGCCTTCCCTCTCGAGTGTATTGGACTATTGGCTAACTTGCGCCAGGTGAAGTCAGGCATGACGATCGCTATCCTTCAACTCGCCAACTGCAATTTCGTCAATTCAGATAGCTACCAATTTTTGTAATCCAATTTCGTGCATATATATATATATATAATATATATATATATATATATATATATATTTGCATAACCTAAATTTCTCTCTTCGTCACTGAATATCGCCGGCATTGATTTCTTGTGTCATCACTGAAATCCAGGTATGTATTGGAACCCTAGCTTACTTCATCATGCATCTTTGTTTTCGAATTCTTATTGTTTTCGGTTTTAAACACATGGATCGGTAGATCGACTTGAGCCTGGAAATTTATATTGTTTGTTACTCTAACTGGATCAAGGTTACGAGATGGCATATATCCAAGATCGTTTATCGAAGGAAGTGTCTGAAGTACTAATTTTTGGGCATGAGATAATTTTGACATTGAATTTGATAAATGTTATTTAGCATGAATCGCGTGAAAGTGATGATTAACGTTTGGGATTTCCAAAAATATGATAAAGGCTATTTAGCTTCATAGAAAGCTTCACTTGCTAACATGTAACAGAGGTGTAGTTTTGCTTTTAGTTTAGTGTAATTTTGAATTCTTAATGGATATGAATTGTTTAGCTAATAGCTATTAGAGGCAAAATATATGATATACAAATAGAAAAGATGTTGATCTTAAGTTTGCTACAAATGCCTATCACCATTGAAGTGGAAAACCAACAAGTTGGACCTCAAATGTGTCTTTTCTTAACCACAAGGGTGGTGTTTGATTGGTTTGAGCTTGGCTCCAAAGGTCAAAAGTACCAAGAGGTCCCGGGTTCAAATGCAAAGAGGAATAAAAATCCCCTTGTGGCCATGGAGTTTCAAATGCGGTGACTCCGGGCTATCTGCAAAGCCGCCCTGGATTAGTCGGCTCGCATAGCGGGTTGGATATCCAGGTTAATCAAAAAAAATTGTCTTTTCTTGTAATGTTTCTATTTTAATACCTTCATCTTCTCGAGATTGGTTGGTATTTTAGGAGATATACTTTAAATCTTGATGTATGCTATTGTTCATAATATCATACTTCCATAAACAAGGAAAATGTTAGGGTAGTCTGTATGAAGCTGATTAGTTATAGTTTATACTGATGAAACTTCGATTCTTAAATCCCATTGCCATATGGTTGGCTTTTCAACTTTTCAACTTTTAAAAATTGAAACTTTAGCTTTCTTTTTTCCTTTGAAATGGCCAAAGTACACACACCTTATAACAATGAGTTTCTAATCCAAAACCACCGGTTTAGGAGACTCCTTGTTGATTATAATATATCACATTAGCATGTTGTTGAATCATGCTGACTTTGTTTGCTGCATATTGTGATTGAATTTTGATCTGGTTCATGAAGTGTTAATATTTCCAGCTCCCATCTATAATATAAAATTAGCAGTTCTTACACACATCCAGTTACTACATGATCTTCCTGTACAAGTACATAATGATTTCAATTTGTGACACAGATAGCTCAACTATGACTTCTGATGCTGATAAGGAGAACTGCCTTGGGTGGGCAGCAAGGGATCCGTCCGGATTTCTATCACCTTACAAATTTAGCCGCAGGTTGCTTCCCATTTATTTTTTGATGTCAGTTTTTCATGGAAGTTTCTCTAATGTCTATGGTGACAAAGTGCACATAAGTGGTATTTTTTTTGCAGAAAGAGTGCATCCATAGGTATTTCTTGACATATTAACACAGAAATCATATAGCTAAGCTGGGTTTATAAGACTTCTAAACTACTTGATATGCCGTTGACTGTGACATGTGCTTTTTTGGCGAATATATTCGGATTCCCAATGATAGATTCAGATGTGTCTACATCCTTTATCAAGGATTTTAACCTTAATGGTTCAGGTGGTGATAATAAATTCTTGAATTAGAGTAAGAAATCTTGAACATGTCACAGGGGCGAAAGTGGACTTGAACCCGTGACCTTCAAGGTGTTACCTTTTAAGGGACGGGTCAAATATCACCAAGCTAAATGCTTGATGTAAAAAAAAAATTTGGAAAATTTAGTGCCATCATTTGCTTAGGGACATTGATTCCGGAGCTAAGCTTATGTTGTTATTCTGCTGCTTATGTGCTAGTCTTGGTTATGCTTCTTCTCTGTCTTTTTCTTTTTGCTCACTCTTTTGCACAAACGGGGTTCTTCACGGAAACAGTCACTCTACCCTTTGTGATAGAGGACTGGACTGTATATTCCACCCCACCCATACCTTGCTTTTGGGTGGAATATACTAGGTGTGTTTGGTTTGGTTGGTCATGATACCATGCCTCTAGGTTTTAACCATCTCCGAGATAATTTAACAGGGATGTTGGAGTTGATGATGTTTCACTAACCATCACCCACTGTGGCGTCTGTTACGCGGATGTTGCATGGACTAGGAATGTACAAGGACACTCTAAGTATCCTCTGGTACCTGGGTATGTACCAAGATTTTGACCTATTGGCATAACTCAAATGGAATACCATTTACTTGTTGTAGATAAATATCTTTTGTATCTTTACTGTTTGCCAGTCACGAGATTGTTGGCATTGTGAAAGAGGTCGGTTCAAATGTTCAACGCTTCAAAACTGGGGATCATGTCGGTGTAGGTACTTATGTAAACTCCTGCCGAGAGTGCGAGTATTGTGATGATGGGCTTGAAACCCAATGCTTAAAGGGAGCAGTATTCACATTTGATGGTATTGACACGGATGGCACCGTGACTAAAGGAGGATATTCATCATTTATTGTTGTTCACGAAAGGTGGGAGGCTATAACTTTATTATAAGATATTTATAGAATGAGAGAAGGAATATGATCTTAATGGTATAAATTAGTTTACAGATATTGCTATACAATACCAGAGAACTACCCATTATCTTTGGCAGCTCCTTTGCTATGTGCTGGAATCACGGTTTGGACCCCCATGATGCGCCATAATATGAACCAGCCTGGTAAGTCTCTAGGAGTGATTGGACTTGGTGGTCTTGGACACATGGCAGTGAAGTTCGGGAAGTCATTTGGATTGAAGGTAACGGTTTTCAGCACTAGTTTGTCAAAGAAAGATGAAGCATTGAATCTGCTAGGAGCTGATAACTTCATTATCTCAAGCAATGATGCCGAGATGAAGGTGAAATCTTTTAAGATCAAATCGGTTACTTTCAACCTTCAAATTGATATATGCATTTGATAGGGTTTTCAAGATGAAACTCAAAAAACAGTAACCCATATCAATTTTGAACAAGAAAGTTGCTTGTTTGTATTGATATTGCTTGCACAGTTAGCTTATGTTTTTTTCACTTTTACACTAGCTGAGGCTCTTCTCGGATACAACCACTCTGCTCTTTAGGTAGAGGTCAGGACTACGTATATCTTACCCCCCAGACTCCACCTCAGCGTGGGACATACTAAGCTTGTTTGGTTTGGCAAAGTTGCTTGTTATCGTATGTCGTTTTTGGAACGTGATTGAAAATTTGAGATTTTCATTACAGGCAATGGAGAAGTCGCTCGACTTCATAATTAACACTGCTTCGGCGGATATCCCATTTGATCCATACTTGGCTCTGTTGAAGAGTAGTGGTGTACTAGTCTTGGTGGGGTTCCCAAGTGAAGTGAAATTCCATCCTGCAAGCCTTATTCTTGGTACAATGCTAAATCTCTTTCTTGGCTAGGCCTTTCTAAGTTACTTGTACCTTGTGCAGTGAGAGTTGTATATCGGGTCAACTTAGTAATAACATGTACAATTGAACTGGTAGGCATGAAAAGCATATCCGGGAGTGTGACGGGCGGCACGAAACAAACTCAGGAAATGTTGTACTACTGTGCAGCCCATAAGATCTACCCCAACACAGAGATTGTCCCGATTCAGTATGCAAACGAAGCTCTCGAGAGGTTAATTAACAAGGATGTCAAGTATCGTTTCGTGATCGATATTGCAAACTCCCTCAAGTAAGGGGTTGCATATCATACAAGGGCTTGTTTGTTAGTAGTTTAATGAGTTTAATGGACTCACAACTTATTCGGTCAACTATACATGACTATTTGGTAGTGGCTTAATGATATAGGAAGTGGCCTATTTTGTAATCTTCTTGGGAGAGCTTTATGTAGAAAGTCAAGTTTTGTCCAAACTTGTCCCTTTCAATTAAATAACACACTCCTTCCATCTACCAAAACAAAAACCTTTCGATCTATAAAACAAATGGAATCCACACATGCATCTTTATCCATAAAGGACTAAGAAAGTTGGATGATTACTATATGGCATATGCATGCCTCTTATATTTTGGATAACTGTAGATAACTGGGCCAACTTGTGTGTGTTTCGACTAATCTGATGGGGCCCTGAAGTTAGACAAACATCTAATGCCCCTGAGAGGTCTCGAACTCGTGACTGCAGAGGCCCTGAGCAAACCCAACCAGTTGAGCTACCCCTAACTTAGAGGCCATAAGGGCTATGCTTGCTCTTTCTTGCATTCCATTGTTTCAACAACCAGAGCTCTTAGTTGAACAACTTTGGATCAACTATCTCCTTCTGATATTCATTATCATCAAAAATTCAATCGGAATCGAATTAAAATTTGATTGGTTCCGTTAGTAATATTTGGAAATTGGAACCAATCGGGGGTGGTTAAAATGACGATACTTCGTAAAATCGAATTAAATCGAAACATTTAATTCCCTAACCATGCTTGTCTACGTTCAAGCTTGAACGGAGGCCGGATAAGGCGTTGTTTACCCAAACGCTTAAGCGCCTATCGGTGAGACTCTACATTATTATTTAACTTATCGAGTAAGATTCTACTCAATCGGAATGGTATCGTATGTAAGAATTTATCCGGTAAGTGCTAACCGGGAAAGAGTCGTCACCTTCATTAACCAGATAAAACTCTTGGTCCTTACCATCACATTTACCGAATAAGATTCTAGATTTTTACCATATACATTCAATAAGGTAATTGACATGATATATACTTACCGGTCAACATTTGGGCCAATAGAAGTAGATATGCAAGTAAAATGTTGCAAGGACACCTTCACTAATGTGTTCTCTTTGTAGGATTTTTAATGAAATTGAATTTTATTTTTTATAAATAATTTATAAAAATAAAGTAAAAAAATATAAAAATAATTATTTTTTATCATTTGATAATTTCAAAATAAGTGTTTTTAATATATTTTAAAGCATCATTACTAGGGGCGGATTTGGTACGGTACCAAGTTTTTTTTTTCTATTGTTGTATGTCAACCAATTATAATTGATACGCAAAATCTTATACCATGTACTAACCAATTATACCATGTTTTTTTTTGGTTGGTACTGGTTTTGTACCAACTTCAAATTACCTATTTGAAATTTGCTGTTATGTTCAAATTTTGAGTAATACTTTGAGTTTTCATTACACATGTGATGTGTAAAGGTTTTTAACCGTAAGGAATAAAACTTACAAGGATTTAAATGTTTGAACAAAATTAATTAAACTTACAAATTTTAATATTTAATACACAAAAAATTCAAAAACTAATAAGTTGTCAATACTGTGTACCAACCAAATTTGCATACTCGGTATGATACTATCAGCCGACTGTAATTGGTACCAATTAAATACGATTGGTACACATCTTGGTTGGTTTAGTTTGATACAAAATTGTCACCCCTAGTTATTACAATCAAATCCTATGAGATCCAATGAAATACCAACACTACCCGCATGAGATTTTCTAAATCCCATGTTTGTGGGATTTCATTGAACTCCCAAGATTTCAATTCCGACAATTCTTGTTAACCAAACGTTGATTGTAATGGAATTCAATTACAAATCGCACCAAAACCCATCATATTCTGGGCCTTAAATTGTCTGAGTACGTAATTATGTGTATATCTTAAATAGGGTTGCATTTCGGTGAGAATGAAAGTTATAGTGAAAAGGGTAAGAAGAAATCTATCATTAGATCAATCCTAATCGAAGAGAAATCACTAGATCAACAGTAATGAGATATACCAGATAAATTCTCTTCTAAACCGCAATTCATGAGATGGTTTGAGATTAAAACAGATCAAAAGTTCAAATCTATTCTTACACTTCTCACCTTAACTCCTATTTTTCAAATAATTCTTCGTAATTCAAAACATCACATAAAATTTATAGCAAAGTTGTGTACAAAAAGAAATAAAATGAACGTTCAAACTGCATAGGGGTAAACCATGGTTTTGCCTCAGGTTTTGCTTTATTTGCATCAATCTGATTCATGGATTAGTTTTTAAAAAAAAATGCTCACTACCTGTTCGATGAAATGTTTAAGTCAAAAACATAAGAGTTTTGAGCATTTTCATGAACATTGCGATTAGCAAATATCATCGAAATCCTTGTTTGATTATTGAAATAAAATCCCTCTCTTCTCACAATGGATTCACGCTACTACACCACACCACGTAAAAACTCGGTGTCTTAATTGGATTATCAGTATTTTGTTTACTTTCAGATTGCAAATCATTTGAAAAATTCGTCCTACACATTATTTTATTCTGCGTTGCTTGAAAGAGAAGATCACAATTTGATCAAATGGAACCATATTTGCTCTAGCAATTTGGTATGAAACATCGTTTAGCACTTATGGAGAATTATAGACAGAAAATCGAAAATGCTTCATTTTGATAACGTGGTGAATATTACAGTTGGAGTTCCACAACTGTTCTAAAGACGTGTGTTCACATACATTTCATTATAACCCTTAACAAAATGCGGGTTGTTTATTAGAAGCATAGGATGTTGTTGGAAAAAAAAACTTTAACGACAATATTACTACAATAAAATTGGGTTTATAAAATGCCACCAATTGCTAAGCATCCTAATAGACCTATTTATAAGACTTAATTTATAGGACCAAAAGATAAAACGCCCTATCTAAAGACGTTGTAATAAGTTCATAGGATGTTTTCGGACATCTTAACAAGTTTAAGACACTTTTAATATAATGCATCACATTAACAATTTTATAAGAAACTATTTGAAAAAGGGTCCTATAAAAAAGATGAGTTTATAGGACACTTTCTCAAAAGTATTCTATAAAATTGCTAACATAACGCTTTCATATTAAAAGTGTCTTAAAAACTTGTTAGGACGTCTAAAAGAGTCCTATAAACTTATTACAACGTCTTTAGATAGGACGTTTAAAATTTTGGTCATATAAACCAAGTCTTATTAAATAGTCTATTAGGACGTTTAGCAATTGTTGATATCTTATAAACCCAATTTTGTTGCAGTGTATCGAAAAAGCTACCCAAGAGAAGAGGTATGATGATTGGCAATATGTAAATAAGAGCTTAATTAAATAGATGAGCCATTTCATATCAATTAATGATGTAATGAGCTCTAAGCAATAGCTCAAATGGTTTGGTGTTGCAGAAGGGAAAACAAAAGAATCTCTTAGAGATGATGATAAATACCACAACTTAGGGACCGTTTATTAAACATATACTTGGTAAGTATTTACTGGATAAATTTCCTCATCGGGTGAACATGAGAAGGCCTAAGAATCTTACTGGGTAAGAACGATGATAATGATGGAGAGTCTTACCGATAAGTGAGGATGACGACTCTTACCCATTAAATTTTTAGGTTTCCAAATCTACTTGTTCTATTTTCTTTAGAAATTAAGTTTTACCTAATTTCCATAAAATATGAAAATTTTATGATGTATGGTTTAGCAAAAAAAAACTAATTATATACCGTTTTTGACATTTTAGAGCCAAACACTTAGGCCCTGTTTGTTTTTACCTAAAAAGCACTTAATATCCTCTTATGTCTGAATCGGTCAGACCTTAAGGTATTAAGTGTGTTTTTTTTCAATTAAGAGCTTAAAAGCTCTGATTATGTCTGAATTATTTAGAGGTAACATTTTCACTTAAAACCTCTTAATTGCTTTTAGAGCTTCCAATGTTTGCAAAGAAAGCCTAGATTTCAATGATTCAAATTTCAGATTTCAGATTTCAGACGTAAAAACAAACAGTTTGACTGATTCAGATTTCAGACTTCAGCACCACCTTTTAAAATTCAGAAATGAATTCAGACTTCAAACTTAAGCACCTCTTAAAAAACAAATGTCACCTTATACTTACGGGTTACCACAATTGATTATATTGTTTTAATCGTTTTATCTCCTTGAGTTCAATCATATATTTCTCGTAATTTAATCTCAATCTGTTAGTATAACACATGTTCAGTTTACTCGAGAAATTCTCCAACCATTAATAATATTTTATTAACTTTATAATTATAATCACTTTATTTGATAAACAGAACTTTATCTCAAGATATTTCATAATCTTAATATTTAGGAAAAAATTCATTAAAATAGCCATTTTGACCATGTGGTTTCATCTCTTAGCCATTTGTCTCCAATTTTACCAAAATAGTCGTAGGTCCACAATAACCCAGGTCCACAACTGTGGACCCAACTACATGACAAAAAAAATTATAGATTAGACCCCTGTTCGCAATATACCAGGCTTGTCCTCTGGAATTTAAATTTTTTACATCTTCTATTGCGGACCAGCCGTTTTGCAAACCCAATCGCATTTTTTCTTGGAAATGAGTGACTTTGAATCCAGCACAATTATCACGTCCAATCACCCACGATCCACCATCCCCCCTTTATTATTGTACATAAATATACAACTTGTGGGGACCAAAAATTTCATCCGAAAATTTCTCTCCGTACAAAGGCACGTGATTTTTCCCGTAAAGTTTTCTTCCATATCAGTAAATCTGCGTTTTTTGCAATGGCTCATGAAGTAAGTTTTTCTTTCCCCATTTATTATTAACATAGATTGTTTTTGTTAAAGATTGTAGATGATTTTGTAGTTTGAACATTAATTGTTTTGTTATGGGTTTTATTGTGATATAGTCTGAACGCACTATTATACGTTTACCATATAATTTTTATAAACGTGGCTGTTTTCTGTAGAAAAAAATTCAATTTTTATATGTAATTAGAGTAATTACATATTAGGTCCCTATAATTGGATTAGTTACATATTAGGTCCTTGTAATTAGATAAGTTACATGGAATTAGATTAGTTACATGGTGAGGTCCCTATAATTAGAGTACTTACAGATTAGATCCCTATAATTAGAATACTTACAGATTAGGTCCCTACA